TGCTGGAAATATTGGGGAGCAGAGGGGAAATGCAAGGAAGTGCAAGTGAAATGAGGGGAGGAAATAGGAAGTCGACATGACAGGAAAGCAGCGGGACATGAAAGGGAAACAAAGGGGAACTGAAAGGGACATGCAAGGGACAGAAATGAAAACAAGGGGAGTGCAGGGGGAAGGAGAGGAAACAAAGCACAAGGAAACCAAGCACGACGGGAGATGTAGGGAAATGACTCGCAACGAAAGAACGGGACATACATGGCAAATGAAGCGGACATACCGAGAAAATGTCAGGGACATGAAGGGGGGGCTGAATGGCATGGAAGGGACAGGACCAGGACATCATGGGAAACGTGACAAGGACATGAAGGGGGAAAGCCAGTAGTGAGATGACAGTTCAGGGTCATGCAGGGGCAGTGCCCGGACATCGAGGCAACTCGGGGGGGGACGTGACGCTGCAATGCAGAGAGAGAGAGAGACAGAGAGAGAGAGAGAGAGAGAGGGAGAGAGCGGGAGAGAGACAGAGAGAGAGACAGAAAGAGAGAGAGAGAGAGACAGAGCCACAGACAGAGCCAGAATCAGAGAAACAGAGAAAGAGACAGACAGAGAGAGAGACAGCGAGAGAGAGAAAGACGGAGACTGAGAAAGAGAGACACAGAAAGACAGAGAGAGAGAGAGAGAAAGAGAAAGAGAAAGAGAAAGAGCGAGAAAGTGAGAGAGTAGAGAGGTTCGAATTAGGGTGCCCTTTTTCTGTAGAGGGGCGTGGACAGGAAGGAGACAGGGAGACAGAAAGAGACAGAGAAACAGAGACAGCGAGAGAGAGAGAGTGGGAGATTGAGGAGAGAGAGGCTTGGGGGGATGGGGAGAATGGGGAGCAGAGGGAGGGAGAGAGGACGACAGAACGCACGAGGGAGACAAGGGAGAGGGAAGAAGGAGAAAAGGGAGAGGACAATGTCGGCGGACTGAGCCGGAGGCTCTAAAGTTTCCAGTAGTGATCGATTCCTCCTTGCTTTGACCCTGAATCACAGCAAAGTCCAGCTCCTGAGAATGGCCCGTGGCATCTCGTGCACAGGGCCACAGGTACAATGATAAACATGAAAGCTTCAACTGATCAAAGAAAACCTAGAACTACAGCAACAAAAACACATATCACATCGGCAAAACAACCAAAACAATCAAGACAAGGTTGATCAGAATAAATGCCCACCTGAACAAGGTTTCTCAGGGGCCCTTGGACTTTGGCTGAGCAGTACTCTCCGGTGATCAAATGCCAGAAGCGACCTGTCATTTGCAAGCGAGCACCTCTGCCTCAGCGCGAAACTTGGAAACTTTACAGTCATGTACGGTAAACATAAACGGAACGACATAGGTCACACAAACTCGGTTGCTTTCTGCTCCCCTGCTAAAAGTTTGACTTTTAGTGGTTCAATGGAAAACCCATTTGTTAGCAAAAAGTTAAAGTCCTAACAACCAAGCAAAATGCACCAAAGCCAAACTGCTGGTAGATCCTTGTGCTGAAGCTCATGACATCGCGATCTCCGTTGGGGCCAAGATCTTGGCTCTTGCCTCTGAATGAGTATTGGATCAGCGTAGCCTTGAAATACACGTGCGAGGTATGCTCCTTTAATTATCGCTGAGTGTGTCTCCTAAGCTAACCCTGTGAAGGCTCAATGGCAAATAAAGCCAGACGTTTCCAAGCAAAAGGCTCCTTGCAAATCAAACCGGCACCAGCCACACTATCGAATCTGACTCCATCTCACACATCTCAATGCACAGACCCGGAAAAGATTCGGAATTTCAAGTGAGCTACCTTCTGGGCGAGCTCAGATTCGTGTTGCGTCCTATCTCCTTTCCATGGGAAAGGGTCTCAGAGTCGGGTTTCGAAATGGGCACCGCTGGGTCAGAGAAATCTCGCCATGAGTCGCAAAGTACATCCTATCCACATGATTCGAGTTAGGCCCAGTCATAGAATGTACATCTGGAAAATTGTAAATTGTACCCTAAGTCTACCCCAGTCCAATGGATTGGCGGGAAAGAGACTGAGCTGCTGGTTTGCCACTCAACTGGTCTTCCTTCAAGAAGTTGCAAGTCCAGGAACTCAAGGCCTGAGCCTAGAAGTTACAAAGAGATCCTGACCGCATAGCTTACTTTCCCAAAGTCAAATGCGGAGTCAGCATTACAAAATTGCTTTCTGCTCCCCTGCAAAAAGTTTAACTTTTAGTGGTTTAATGGAAAACCCATTAGTTGGCAAACAGTCAAAAGTCCTAACATCCCTTGGCAAAATGGCACCTGTGACTAGATGCCGCGTCCAAGATGCCACGTCCAAACCGTAGGCACTGAGGCAGAAGGTGCTCTGGACACTGTACCAAGTGAATTTCAAGCCCGCTCGGATTCCATCGCCTTTTGAGAGACCAATGTGTCAACTTGTTTGGTGCTACTTGGTGCTCTAAGGGGCTTTGCACCCTGGGAATGCACCCACTGGGTATTGACCCCATTTAGGCACGTTTCCGGATAACACCGTGTTCATTTAAACCATTCTGGGTCATTTCCCAAGGGTGTAATCCCAGGGTGTAATACAAAAACCCTGAGACCGTCGCGTCAGTTTTCCCCAACTAAGAGTAGTGGGGTCGCCCAAAGGGGATACTGGGCTTCTTTGTTCCTTTTGGCAACCCGGATTTGCATGGGCTCAACTGGGCATGCATCAAGATATATGCCCCCCCCCATTTTGAGGTGGCATAGTTATCCACAAAAATGTCGATTTGGCGCGCATTGGTTTTCCCGCTGGTCACCAAACTTGCTCAGCAAAGGGAATGCTGGAACGAACCTGGGGATTCCCTTCAACAAAAACCAAGGGTTTGTAGGGGCCATTCCATTTCTCATTCCCCGCATCTCTCGCACCAGCAACTAGGTCCTCCAGTAGAGAGCTTAGAATAAGGGATTTTTTTTTTCAGGACGTCTATTTTAGTAGGGGAACCCTCCCAACAAAAAAAGGGGTGAGAAAGGGCACCTAGCTGGGGGAGCTAGGCAAGCAAAAAGGGTCACAAAAGCCACACCCAATGGAATCTCAATGGAATCTCCAAGCCAGGGCCGGGCATCTCTCACAAACGGATGCTTCAGCTTGCCCACTCACCTGGCACCGCTTAAAACCCGGGCGGTCAAATTTCGCTCTATGGCTACCAGGGGTTTTGTGTTGCTCAGTACAAGGACCAAGACGGGAAAAAATCTAGGGGTTGATTCTTCCCCATTATTTTCAACCATCGCTCTTTTCGAACACCGGCTGCTTCCCCCGAGTTGTGGATGGTTTCCTGAGAAGAAGGATCCCTTGGAAAGAATGGAAGTGGCAGGTACCCCTAGCAACGTGACGACCCTTCGGAGCCAAAAGTTCCAAAGGACCGGCCTTGCAAGGTTCAGAAAGGCACGAGACCTTGCAAACCCAAATCGAAGCCAGGTAGAACCACTAGGTGCTCCAGTAGAGAGGTTAGAATAAGGGTACCAACTTTTTTGGGGGGGAACCCTCTCCCCAAAAAGGGCAAAAGGGCACTACTGGGGGACCTAGACCACCTAAAATGGCTGGGGCTGTTGGGTGTGGGGCACCCTTTGGGGACTCCATGTCGTACGATCTTAAAAATCTGAATAGGAGTGAAATCTGTTGCTTTCTCATTTGGATCTGTCTCAAAACGGTGGGCCCAAAAAACCCACTCCAAAAAGGGAACTCTCAAAAAAAAGGACACCCCCATTTGGATCAAGGGCAAAGATGTTAGGTCCCAAAAATTTGACCCGTAGGCCTGTTGGAACCCAGTACGGTTCTAAGCTTAAACCAACTCATTCAAAGGGCAGAAGACCCTAGGCCCCTTGAGAAAGTGAACAAGAGCTGGCCTGCAACAAGTCGGACGCTCGCAAGCCACGTTCAGTGGTAGATTCCCCCTTTCATCTCCCGTTTTAACATGCCACATGAGGCTCCGATTTTAAGACGTAACACCACTCAACAGCAAGATGCGTCAAAGGCTCGGGATGTTTCCCGCTTTCCTTCCTTCAGATTGACTCCGACTTCTGGGGGAATGAGCTTCTTTGCCTGATCAGCTTGAGAATCTTGGAGTCGGTCTTGCTATCTCATTCGCTTTCGAAGAACCGCTTGGGTAAAACGAGATACACACACATAGGTGGCCTTTTGGAAAAATAGATTGCCCTGGTAAATGCAGTAAACCCCATCTAAAACAGTGACGTCTATTTTCAACCAAACTAACCTAAAAAGGCCGCCTATGTACACAGGGATATGTGTAAGCACTGCCCTTGTCAGAAGGCTGCTCACAGATATTCATGTCTCGCAAACGAGGGACCCCAGATGGTCAACTCTGCTTGTGGTTTCCCTTTCTACTCCCCAGCCCCAAGGAATTCAATCAAAACAAGCCAGCCCCCCTTGAGACAACCTAGGGGTTCCTGAAATGGATGATCCGCAAAACCGCTAAACACATTGTCCTTGGCTGACCTTTGAGTGGGGAACCTCCACCAACAAGCTTGCAGCACAGGGCGTAGGACCTCACACTTGTTACGAGAAATTTTGGAGCCTGGAAGACCAAAGTTTGGAGGATGCCTAGGTTTTGGAGGAAATTTGGTTTCTTCAGTTCTCAGCCTTTTTTGGGTGCCAACTTTTTTCTGTAGTCTATTGTAGGGGAACCCTCCCCAAAGGATAAAAGGGCACTGGGGGAGCTAGTCATTGAAAACTGGGCCTTGCGTAAACTGCCGCCTTCCTGACAGCTAGTGAAGCTTGAACCTGAAAACCTCCATGACCCTTAAAACATGGTTGGTCATTACCCAAAATGATGGGGTCATGGACCCGTTGTTTTTCAGGGTCAGACGGAGAGTCTAGGCACATTCACCCCTCGCAACCCCTCAAACATCATGCTTGAGGGGTGCTTGGACCATCTGAGGTTGGAGGTAAGGGTTTACACCGGACATACCGGGGGTGAGACTCGAGACACTTCGCCCATCCCATTGCCCAGACTGCCTCAGGCCATCTGGATGGGTCTGGACCGCCATGCCTGGAATCAGCTTCTCTGACCGTTTTTTGACGTTCGTACCCGTCGAGTTCACTTGGGATATTTTTCTTGCATTTTGCATTCCTCCAGATTTGTGAGGTTAGAATAAGGATACCAACTTTTTCTGTAGTCTATTTTAGTAGGGGAACCCTCCCCAACAAAAGGGTAAAAGGGCACTACTGAAAAACCTAGGTGTGATGGTGTGCGTCAAATTGACCCAGGTGTCATAAACCCCTTTGTTGACTATGGCGGGTGGTGCCGTGGGAACCTTTGCTTGGGCAAGCCTGATGCAGGTTAGCGAATCCGGAGCAAATCCAAGAGTGACTGACCAAAGTGGGGATCCAACCTATTTCAGACTGTCGACCCCATGCACCTCTGCGCCACCAATCATAGCTTCTTTTCTTTTTGAACGGCCTCAAGAACCAGCGTGACACCGAGCCGACGGACATGGCGGCTGTTCGACCAGCATGAAGGTACCAACAACTCTAAAGGAACGAGCAACGCCAAAACCTCGTTGACGGTTGGCTCTAAGATGGAGTCACGGTCTCTGCGGGGTGACCAGAACTGAGTTATGTTAGCCACTGAGTTGGGACAAACGTAGAAGCTCATTCGAGGATGTGGAACATGCAGACCTTATGTCAAGCCCCCAAACTGAGTAGATCGTCACCTGGTAAAATGCCCGTGGTCTTGGGCGCTGCTCAAGGGCGCCTTTGAACTGACACGATGCCTCCGAGTGACGTTCATGCTAGAAAATGCGGCATCGGCGCGTGCGACCAGTTCGCTGGCCCCGAGTTGAAATACCAACGAATGGGTGGGCCTTTTTGTTAGGGTTTTTTTTTCCCCCAAAAGAGGGTACCGGCAAAAAAGAAACTGACCTGAACAGAGGTCAGAACTGGTCTTTGGTGTTGCGGCTGATGGTTTGCACAGGAAAAAAAAGGGGCCACCCTCCACATTTTTCTGCTGAGGTAGATGTGCTTCTGATTCACTGATGTCTGACGCCGTTTCAACGCTGGGTTGGTCTCAAAACCGCGAAAAAACACTGAAATCTTTGATGAATGTGGGGCTCCTTTTGGCTCCTCTGTAGGCACCAACCCAAAGCTGGTCGCCAGAAACGACACCGGGCCCCAGCATTCTTAGACCCGTCTGTGCCCGCTCTTCGCGCCGCGAGCGCAAACGACTGCGATGCCTTGTGCAGTTGCCAGCCAGCGTCAACCTGGGGTCGAGGGCAAGAACGCCCCTGTGACTCTTTATGGCAACAGCCAAAAGGCGATGCTTAAGTCCACTTAACTGTTCAGCAAAGACAAGCAAACCAATTTGTGTTGTCCTTTTCAGGGTGCCCAATGTTAGATGAAACAACTCCAGCTGGGGCTCCAAGAAACGGTACCAAAAAGGAACCCTGGTAAGTGGAAACATGGACCAACACCTGCGTAACCCCTGCTGTTTAATTTTAAGCCACAGCCATATAGCTGCAAAGTGAATCTGGAAGTTTGGAAAATCCCCAACCACACAGGGGCACCTTTCGTTACGCTCCCCCGGCCGCAACCTACACCCTTGTTTTGGCCATTTGCTTGAGCGCCCTGGAAGAAAAAGGAACATATGTCACGCAATGGTCGATGTCCTTTACAACCAACAGGGGAAAATGAAATAAAACACATCAAGCATACCCATGATGGTGGATTCCCTTTTAAACCAACAGGAGAAAACAAACAAAAGCAATAAATTTCAGCAAATGGAAGACTTGTCACAGGGAAGTCCCTCAGAACACAGTTGCAAAGCGGGCACCGGAGGTCTGTGATGCGAAATCTCGAACTCCAACGCATGTTTTGTCCAAGGGGGCAAAATAGGCCACATGAGTCGCAATAAAAACCTGGCATTAAAATGGTTGACCCGGAACCGTGTAAGGAGATACAAAGGCGGACGCAACTATTGATGGCTGGGATTGTCCCTTGCAAACCTTCATCTACCTGGGTTTCGATTGGAGAATGGAGAGGAGTGATACAAGTCGCAACCATCTCTCTTTTCATGGATGTCTGGTTCATTGTGGCAAGAAGGCCGCTCCATCATAGCTATTGTTGGATGGCAATGACAAATGAACCAATACAGTACCACACATCCATGTAATGATATTCGGGCAGATCTGTTTCGAGGCCCGGTCAACTCCAAAGCTGCCCATCCACGTTCGGGAATTGATCGCACCAGTTGAAGCAACTGAAAAGGGATTTGGTGCAGCCGGTGGTTAGTTTGGGGACATGGGGGAAGCCCAATCTTCCATCAGAACCAGGGGTGCGTCCATCTCTTTGGTGGCTTTTTGGGAACGCAGGCAGTCCAAAACCTTTGTTAAAAAACGATTTGCAACTAAGTGGCATTCTGCCATTACGTCCAAACCACATTGAAAGATACTTCTGTTCACCATTGTCCAAACCACATTGTAACCTAGTGACGTCCAACCTCGTGGAGCAAAAACATCCGAAAACAAACTTCTGTTCACACGTGTTGTGTGTCTCTCTTTGGTGATGGACCCTCCCTTGTGATGTGTTTTGAACTGGAACCACAGACACACCCCTTGGGGTTCACCCCCATTTACCTCACTTCCCTGAGGGCATGGGCCAAAAAAAAAAGGCAACCACACCGGCCACAGCGGCTTATTTTTTCTTTACCACCAACATGGTCCAAGCCCCCAAAGCGACTCCTTCGTCCGCCGAGCTTCGGGCTCTTTTCGGTTGTTCTTTCCCAAGACGGTCCCAAGCCCGCCCGTTTCGTGGAGCGAGACATCCCATGAGACCTCCCAAGCTCGAGGATCTGGCCTCCTTCGCCCAGCCCAAGGGCCAAAGTAGGTACACCGCCTGCAAGATCCGATGGAACCGGCCCGCGAGCGCGAAGGAGCAGATCTACGGATTCGCCCGCCGCTCGGCGCGTGGGCGCGCAAGGGAACAAATCCAAGGTAGTTTCAAATATATATATATATATATGTATATATATATATGTATATACATTCAGAGTCATACTGATGATACTGTGGATGGAGGAAATCCGCTCGCACCACGAAATGAAGCCATGGTTGAAATCCGTTGTTGGTGTTTGCAGGGGGATCATCATTCCCAAGCTTCTTAGGTGGCGCGACATGGATTTTGTCCATCCACAGTAGCGGATAGCCATTGAAAATCATTGAAACCTACCAGTGTCTATTCTATTGCTGGCCCTACTCTTTTACCAGTTTCAAAGTCACCTAACGGGGTAACGGGAAACCACCCAAGCTTCTGCCTTTGATACCCAGAAACAGTCAAACGAATGACTCCGGTGGCTCCAGGTGGCTCCCCTTGTCGGACTCGTTATTTCAGTATGGGATAAGGGCACCCCAAACCAACCTGAAGTAGGTGCCTCTGAGTGCCTCTGACGTGTGTATTCATACCGGGATTTAAGTGGAGTCTATGTCAACCAACAATTTCGGGGCTGGGGGAGGGAGGTGGGGTATGGTTCACGCATGTCAGATGATGGCAGTGTTCTTTGCATGTGTATATATGTATATATATATATATTATACATGTATATATGATATTATATATATACATGATATTATATATACATGAATGGTCACACCTGCTTGAAGTGCCTTGGAGGGTGTGACAACTAAAACCACATTGATTTTCAAATCAGTTCAGTATAGTTCAGTCATTGTTCTATAAACCCAGACTAGTGGACAGATCAAACTAAAAACCAGAGACGCACGTTCAAATCTTCACAAACTCAACCGAGCTTTGTTTGTTGATATCGACCTACCAGGGCTGAGTCTCGCAAACCGGCCCCTATGCAGTTTCATCATCCATACCAAAGTACCGTAGAACAAAACACTGAAAGTAACCTCCTTGTTCCGCACAATGGTCTCAAACTACCTCTATGTTGGTTCCAGCCACGCAACAGCCACACGTACAGGTGATAAACCAACGAATCCCAGCGCTCTCCACTCAAATGCCCTCCTCCCAAATGAGGCACACTCAAGCGAAGCATTGATGCCTGAAGTGTCAGTTGCCCGGTTCGGAGCGAGCAACGAAAGGTGAACCTTGGCACCTGCACCAAAAGGTTTGACCAAAAAGGGGGAACCGAAGGTAAGCTCGGTTTTGACCAACGGAACATGGTCCAAATCTGTCCAAATCCGAGAACCCGTTCAGGTGCATGCTTGCTTCAGTGGTTCTCCTTCAAACAAATACCCTTCCACGAACAGAAGGCACCTGTGGCAGGGCGCCTATCACTTTTTCTAGGTCCTCCAGTAGAGAGGTTGGAACAAGGGCCTTCCTTTTTTTCCCTGTAGTCTGTTTTACTAGGGCTCGGAACCCTCCCAACCAAAAAAGGGTAAACCATCCCTACTCCAAAAAAGGGTAAACCATCCCAACCCAAAAAGGGTAAAACATCCCAACCCAAAAAAGAAACGGGTGAGAGGTCGGGCACTCTCCCTGGGACTCCCCTGGGGCGCTGGGCCCCCGCGCCACAGAGAGGTACTCAGCGCACGCCAGCGCCGGCAGAGGGATGTGGAGCTGGTTGGGGATGAGCTGCCTTAAGACAGGTGGTGACTGAGGTGACTGGAAGCTGCCCTTAAGTTGAGCAAAGTACTGGTGGCTTCCCTTGAATGGCTCCGAATCCCCTTGTGGATGACATTACTGGTTTCCATGGCTGGGAAACCCTGAATCACCCTACTCCCCTCCCTGAACATGCAGCCCAGTTCGGATTCCCAAAGAGGATTTCTCGCTCAAGGTGGTTGGGTTCCATGAAAAAATCAGAGAAACTTTCCCGGACTCCCCGGGTCATCCCTAAGGGTGCTGGCTTTGCTTTTGGTCTGGTCTTAGACGGGTCTCGCCAATCCCAAAGCTTCCACAACGAAAGAAGAAGAGGAAAAAGACACCCTTCTGACTCTTTGGTCCCTTCAACCTCTTAGGATGCAAAGGGGTGGGACTCTGTATGCTATGTTTCCCGGCCAAGTAGTGTAGAGGAACAAACAGCTATAGACTGGTGTTGAACATGAGTTGCACCAATTCTACCAGCACCCGCACCCCCCAACTTGCCTGCCTTTTCCCATGTCCAAAATCCACTTGGTACTGTCCAATTAAAAAATTGGGCGGGGGGGAGTGCCGGGGTGCTGGCCACTTCCTGCTTGCTTTTCTGCTTGGCTTCACAAGGCTTCCCCCTCATGGCAACGAGACCTACTCGAGGGTCAGCCAGGTCCATCAGAACACTCCAGCCAACAGATCCCAGATACACAAACGACCCAAAACACCTGGCAGAAACGGGTTAATGAGGGACAAACAGGGTGCCACTGAACTGTTGGTTTGATTCAAACGACAAATACCAGGAAACCAACCCTAGATCCTCCAGTAGAGAGGTTGGAATACGGGCCTTCCTTTTTTCTGTAGTCTATTTTAGTAGGGATCGGAACCCTCCCAACCAAAAACGGGGAGAGAAAGGGCACTACTGAAAAACCTACAACCCATTTTGGTGAACAGAATAATGTTGAATTAATAAACCAACCGGTTTATTAATATGGGGGTGTTCCCCTCCAAAAGTGGGCTGAATCCCCTCTACAAACCGGGGAGAAGCACCCGCATATTAATAAACCGGTTGGTTTATTCATCCGGGGTCAACGTTAACTCGGAAACCGCCTTGGAGGTTGATCCGAGTGGCTGATCCAGAAGCAGCAAGGCCTCAGATGAGAACCGCTGCGGTGGGTCTACGCTCTGGTTGACCTTGGTTTGGGCAAATTTTAGCAGTTACGTGGTGATTTCAACCACTAAACCACAAGAAGCAAACATGTAAAAGCCGTTTCCCAACAACAACCATGCCTTGCTCCCCCCAAAACCTTCCCAGCTGCCCATGAAGGGGACCCGCAAAAAAAAAAAAACACGACCTGATCAACTTCGGGGCCCCGACTCCCTCAGATGCAACCAGTGGATGTCCATGGGAAGAAAAGAATCGGCAGCCCTTTTTTGGTTGGTCGAGCTTAAGGAATCGGAACCCTTCCCAAAGTCGACCACTGGGCAACTGGGTGACCAAAAGTATAGACCAACATGAAAAAAAAGCAAAGGCTCAGATCCGGTCGATGCGCTTTGGGCAAGTGAGTCCTGTCAGGGGTGCCCTAGACTCACCGGATGCAAGAAAGCCGCCCGCCGCAGTCCCGCCGCACCCAATATGACTTTCGAGTCGCACAGAACCTCTGAGCTTTGGAATTTAACGCAACCGCTTTTGGGAGACAAGGGACTGGGGCAACAGGGCTCCCGAGTTGTTTCCCCTTAACACATAAAATCACCCCCAAAAAATACTCACCTTTGGGCCAAGAAGGTGATGTTTAAACACAGCCCCAAAAAGGGGAACATAAAAACCTGGGGCAACGGAGGCAAAACTTGAGGGATTCGCCTTGCATCCTCGGGCTTGATGTTTGAGCCAAGTGGACATCACCCATATTTTTTGCTTTGGTGGGATCCTTACAGAAAAACACCTGAGCATTGCCATGCAAATGGTGGTGTCCCTCCTGAACATTGCCCTGTAAATGGTGGTTTCCAACTTTATTTTGGTGTTGAAAAAGCCACATGTTTCAAATGGTTGCAAAATGTATCTTTTAAGGAGGCCTGTTCTGGTGGGGCTGTGTTTGGAGACGAACCCACACGGTTGGTGGGGCTCTACGGTGTCACTTGGGGCTCCTTGGTGCTCCTTGCTCTACGCTTTTCTCTTCATCCCAGGTCTTACCCAATAGTGCCCTAGTTCCCAAGGCCTAGAAGTGCTGCATGAAGAATTGGTTTGATGAGTTGCTTTGTAATGAGACGGCTGTGATCTTTTCATGAACCACCTCACCAGTGGACATGAATCCCCATGTCCCTCCTTTAAGGGGGCATGGCCATAGCCCCTTTGGTGGGTCGCCTATTTGGATTTTCTAAGGGACTTACATACGTCAAACATGGAGATGGACTTCTGGGGTAACCTCCATAACCCATGTATAATCACTCACTTGGGGTATATGTCCATTTGGGGTATGAAAGCTGCGCCATAGAGATTCTCCGGGTATTGTAGTTCCAAAAAGTTGACAACACCATATGCCATGCACAGCCCAACATACACTCAAGCATGTTTGCCTGCCAGCCAGCCAGCCAGAAAACTGTCCGAAGCTAACCAATACAACCGGTACCACTGGTTGCGGGTTGGCAGCGCAACAATCTGTGATTCCCACTTAACACACAAATAACGTGTAAAACTGCAACTTCAAAGGCATACCTACAAACTCAATAGTTCAATCAATGAAACACACAATAAACAACGAAAAGATAACAAATCCATCATTGCTACATAATATTATACATGACATCGTGTTTTTTGCACATCAGATGATCAAACAACACCCGCCAGCTTCGGGGGACTTGTTCGAAGCCCACGAACGCGCGAGCAGCCAAGGCACCACGAAGCTCAGAAGCACGCTGCCGCTGAGAATGCTCGAGGCCCAAACGCACCTGAGAGTTCTTATCGCCAGAAAAAATGGGCTTCCTGGGACGGTTTTTTGTGGGACAGCACCAAGAAGGGCCAGGAAATTTTTCCCGTGACCCCCCCAATGGTAAGTTATGGTAGAGACTTGGTAGCTCTCGGAAGGATAATTCGTGTTTAAAGCCTCCCAAATGGGAAACAAACAAACATATACACAGAAACACAAACAAACACACAGACCCAAACACGACACAGACACAGACTCAGACACACAGACACACATGGTCGGGCCCAGTAAAAAGGCCAAGCGCAGTTGCGAAGCGCACTTGAGGTCTTTGCAAGTTCTCTACCTGCGCTGCTCGACATGGAGGGAACCCGACTTTCCAAATCCGTAATCCGTAGCGGAAGCTACTATGTGCATCAGGATTGAGGATACATTTTGAACGACCCAGTCATCTTTCCGACTGTTTGAAACGCATGTGAGCACACCCCCATGCGCAATGCATTTCCCTCAGACCAGGGTTGGGCGATTCTGGGCGATTCAACGCAAACATGTCTAAACAGCGGGGTAGACAGGCTCCACCTGGCTTCCCTACCCCGACCAGGTGGTTTTCACAAATTTGGCCCCCCAACCATGGTACCCACAGGATAGAAAATGGAACAGGTCCCTTGATTGCCCAGCACGGTTTCCGTCTATACATCGATGCATGGTTTTCCTTCATGGTTGTACAGATTTGTCAGATAGTGGAGTCACATACACGGCTAGTGGATTCAGGCGCTGTTCACTTGCCTTAGCCTGAAAGCAGGTGAACCTCTGGAAAGCTTGACAGAAAGTACACCGAAGCTGCAAAACAACAAGGTGTTGAAAGGTCGATTTGGCTTCCGGGTTCAACTTCAGTGGGCTTCGAAAGCAAGTTTAAAGCCAACACGAGACCGCCCATCGATTCTCTGACCTCGGCCGGCGAAAACTCAAAACTTTAGTTTGAAGGGCAACATCGACGATTTAACGTTCAACCCTTAGACTCACTTCCTGAGTGGATTGGCCAACCAAAATCTGAACTTTTTTTACCACCAACATGGTCTTATGGTCTTCCCAAAAACTTCAAAGTCCAGGAACCCGGGAAGTGAGCCCACCAACTGGACATTGGACATACGTTGGTTTCGCCAATATGGCCATGGGTCAAAACCCAAATCGTACCCCCAGTGAACATCCCAATCCCCACAAAAATTGGTTCTAAAGTGGGTGCACCTACCAACCAAACTGGGATCCCATTGGAATTGACAACCACAACCATATGAGGCAAAGGCACCGATTTGGGTGAATTCTAACCACATAAACCACCATCTGGGGTGATTCGTGTGAGGTCGGTTTCATTCACCCAGACCGATGGTCCCCGCCGGTTTTGGCGCCCGAAAAATGCTCAAGCCGCGCCTTCGCGACGTGCCCAAGGCCAAGGTCCACATGGCCAAGACCTAGCAAGCATTTACACCAAAGACCGGGTAAGTTGGGGGGTGGGGGGTTGGGGGTGGGGGGGTGGGGGGTCCGGGATCCAATTCCATTTCTGGTCCCATTTTTCCGTTTTCCTCAAGGTGGGGGGATACTGGAAGGCTGCAATGGCATCCGGATATTTGAATATCACCTTACTTGGTGGCTCAATCAATGGAATTCTAGGGTACACGATGCTCCAGCCCTCTTGCAACAGACCGTCAAATCCCCGAGGGTTTGGGTGGTAGAAGTCCCCAAAGGAGTAGATGTCAACGTTCCGCAGCTTCTTCGTCACATTTGCGCCATGTTTCTCCGTGGCCTGACA